TGCAGGGGCTCTGGAGGCGGAGTGTTTCTGTGCCCTCCCTGCACTCCAGGGCCTCGTGTCCTCCTCCCTCCCTGTGCTCCGGGCTGGGGAAGCTGGGGCATGCGTGCCTACCCTCCTCCCCGGCCCATGTGGGGGGCAGGGAGGCAGCTTGGTTCCTATGGCGGGGGAGGGGGGGAAGGGCTTTGATCTATAAGAATGGTGCTTAAAAAAAATCTAGCAAGCAAAACAAAACACTGGCAACACGCATGGTCTTGCTCCGGGCATTCTGTCGCTAGTCACAGCCTGGCTCAGGCTCAGCCCGGCTCTCATTTCCACAGCTACACAAAGATGCACGAGGGAGCCACAGCAGCTGCTCCGTAATTCAAGCTGTAAGAGTTTTTCCCAAACAGCCAGAGCGCCATGCCATCCCCTGCTTGCACAAGCAGGCTTCCCTCCCAAGCTGCATTCCAGCAACACAAGCGTTAGGGAGAGTTTGAGCTGGCACCCAACCAGCGAGCTAGGAACTGTGCATCGATCCCACGCTTTGTATTTTCCTGAGGATACTGTCTATTTATGCACTGCTCAGCTGCTTCTCATGGTAACGTCTATGCCTGCACTGGGTTTTTTTTTTTTCTGGGATACCAAGGGTATCCTGGTAAAATCCTGCCACATCCAGGGATCACGTTTGCTCTTCCGCTTTTTTTTGGTGGAAAAGCAAATGCGCCCTTTCGGGGAGCCCTGTATTTCTCATTCCACGCCTCCAAAATTTGTCTCTGTGTAGACGGGGCCAAGTTTCGGAAAAGCCTCTTCCGAAAAGACTATCAGGAAAAGCTACCGGAGCGCAATTTGCGTAGCTTTTCCCGATAGATCCCGAGACATAGCCCTAGACAGTCTTAGAACTCATCCTTTTCAGCCCTTGGAGAACAAGCCAGTGGGTGGATACTGCCCCATGCCGGGATGCCTGCTGCAGGCCTCGGTGGAGAGGCAGCTGCATGGCGTGTCCGAGGACTGACCTGGAGATCCGTATTCGTGTCTTGGCAAGCGGCAAATCTTGGGCATCACCTCTATGAGCGTTTTCACATACTGCAGAATGGTGCCCTGCAACTGGGAGAGGAAAGGAGCTCAGTTAACGTGGAAGGAGGTGTCTCAACTCGGAGCACAGGCATGTTAAAGGGGCTGCTTTCGCCACCAGGCCGGTAGCGTCTGCAGCAGAATGCAACACTGATCGCAGAATCCTCAAACCAGGGACGTCCTTATGATTTCTGGGGCCCTGTGCAGCCCAAGCCCCTGCACCCTCCATTCCCCAATGGGAGGGCAGCCACTCCATGGGGCAGGTCTGTGCTCAGGGCTGGGAAGGCAGGAGGAGGCTGGTTATCTGAGCCATGCCAAGCCTCCCAAAGCAGCGAGGTTCGCCCAACACTTGTTCCAGACCCGTCATTACCAGGCTTTTGACGATCTTCAGCAGCTCCTCCATTACCACCGCGATGCCTTGGTAGCCGAGGAGCCGGCAGATGGTCTTGAAATGAGGAGGCCCCACGAAGTTGCGGTAGGAACTGTAGATGTGGCTGTAGGCGATGTTCAGCGGCTGGAAAACGAGAGGCACAAAGACAATAATGGGGACCAGCAGCCTTTGCAAGGCTGCTCCCTAAGATTCTTTCCCAGGGGGCGTTTTCTGTCCCTCCCATCCGGGTACCTTTTACAGAAGACAAAGGGCACAAACCCATTTCCTGGGGCACGTCCTTTTGGGGAAGGGGAGGGTTACAGCGACGGAGGATTTGTGTTTTGTGCCTCAGCTTGGAAGAGAGTTTGAAACCGACACCTTTTGGCGCTGTGTGGGAGAAACACCTCTGTAACGCCTGTACAATGCCGGCTGGGAAGTGTTCCTGGGCACACAAGAGCCACAGCCGGGGCTTTTGGCTGCTGCCGAGCCCATACACAAGCACTGCTGCCTGTTGAGAAATCCCTGGTAACAGCCGAGGGGGTATTACTGCATCCTATCCCCGTCGCTTCGTCTCATGGTGATCTCCAGGCAAAAGCCCACTTGTCTCTTTTCTGTGTGTGCAAAAGGCCTGCCTCTGCATCCTGATGGGGGCCTCTGGGCCGAGCGATCGCTATCACAGATCAATATTTCTGAGGGGGGACAAGGTGAAAGCCCAGCTGGGGAAGGCAAGTCCTAGCCCTGGCCCTTCCAACACTGGAGCCAAGCCCCACCCACTCCCAGCATGCTCCTTCCTGACCACCTGGACCGCCAGGGCTGCTGGGATTTTTAAAAGATCCCATCCTGTGTCCGGTGACGGGCCTTTGCTTTGGGAGTGGATCCCACTGCTCTCGCTGTGCAGCTCCCCACTGCGGCTCTGTCCACCCTGCAGTGGGACACCCGGGGCTGGCCCGTGTCGGCTGAGTCAGGCTCACGGGGCTGCAGGGCTCTGAAACAGCAGGGCAGGCCGACCCTCCGGGGGATACCCACGCCGGGACTGGTTTCCCCCAGGAAGATCCCCATTTGTCTTTCCTGCCGGCAGGCGCTCCTGGGAAACGTGATGATTCCCGCGAGGCGGCCTCACTGCAATCAAGGAGCAATTCCACGCACAGCCCCCGCCGTGGGCTGCAGAGCTGTTCTCTTCGGGTGCCGCCGCATTAGCATTCCAACAGCCTCCGCCTCTCCAGCTGCCCTCCCACCGTGGGGCTGCTGCTGAACAGGGGCCGCTGCGTGACTAATGGAGCTGGGAAGCAGCTTTTAAAACGTACTTCGGCACTAGCCCCGAAGCTACAACCTCCATCCCCATTGCACAGGGCACTGCTAGAGAATCTCTTTTAGAATGCGCCTCGGCTGCCAGCGAAGCAGGGCGGTTCATCCCTTCCCGTCCTGGCGAGGTTTCACTGCGGGCAGGTCGCTGCACTAGCCCCCCACTGCTCACCTGATCCCCCTGCAGCAACGAGACCCAGCGCCCGACAATCCGCCACCCTGTCTGGGGCCCCACCCCTAGTTTGAAAACCCCAGAGATAGAAAACGAGTGTCTACCGAAAGGCGAGCGTGGTAATTGGTGACAGAAAAGCCTGGCTAGGCAACCAAGTTCACCCCCTGCCAGAAGAGAACCCAGGAACCCTGTAGGGCAGCGTTTCTTAAACTGTGTTCTGCGGCACAGGCAGTCAGAGGTGTGCCGCGGAGAACAGCAGAATTCAAAATGGCTGCCCTTAAAGGGCTCAATACATTTCCCCGACCCTTTTTTCCCTTCAATAACTTCCCCCCAGACCCTTCCCCCCCCAACCATTTTTTTCCCCCTCAACAAAAAATCCTTGGTGTTCCACATGAAAAAAAAAAATTGTTCGGTGTTCCTCCGTCTTAAAAAGTTTGAGAAACACTGCTGTAGGGGATGGACTGTGCTGAATTGCTACTAGTTCAGGGGAGGGCAACGGGACGGTTGCCATCTGAGGAGAGATTAAAAAGACGGGGACTTTTCAGCGTGGGAAAGAGACAACGAAGGGGAGACACGAGGGAGGTGTATCCAGTCACGACTGATGTGGAGAGAGTGAACAGAGAAGAGTTAGTCACTCCTTCCCATCACATAAGAACGAGGGTCACCTGATGAGATTCATTTTCCAACAAACCAAAGGAAGCATTTCTTCACGTGGTGCACAGTCAGCCTGTGGAATCCAGGCAGTGCTGAGCGGAGAACAGGTGCACACTAGCAGGCCTGGCAGATGCATGATCAGACGCGTCGACCCAGCTCAGCAGCAATGAACCAGCAGAGAGAAGTGGGCTGTTGGTATTTGACACACTCTGTGGGGGATAGCTGCGGCAACATAGCTGGCTCCCAAAGGAGTCAGGCGCCTAAATCCCTTTTACAACCTGTCTCTTTTTCTGGAAAAATAAGGAAATATCTCCCTCCTTCGCTGGGTGCTACCCACATCAGCGTGGGAAGTAGGGCTGCAGGGTGCTGCAGCACCCCAGGTTTTGCACCCAGCTTCCGCACGCCCAGGAGCCAGCTCAGCTGCTGACCAGCCCCAGGTCCTGGCCTCTGGCTCCTGTGAAGTCTCGCCAGCTTCATCACCCTCTGGATCCTGCTGCGCACCATCCCCAAGGCCCTCGCCACCAGCCCTGGAGGCTCCTCTACCGCTCGGGGTCCTGGGGCTCTGTTCCTGGCCTTGGCCCGGGGCACCGCAGCTGCTTCCAGCTGTGGCTAAGTTGCCAGCTCTCCCAGACCGGACGCCATTGCTGCAGAGCGTGTCCGATCTGGCAGAGTTGGCAACTGTAGGTGTGACCTCAGCTCGGGTGGTGAGGGGCACGTGCAAGTGAGAGGAGGGCCCAGCTCAGCACCCCACCCTAAAACAAGCTCCAGCACCACCGGTTACCTCTTACCCCAGACTGCACATCTAGAATTGACCACATCACGTGGAAGGCAGTTGTCTCTGAATTCCTCTCACCCGCTTACTGCAGGTTGAACCTCTCTAGTCTGGCACTCTCGGCAACACCCATGGTCCAGCACGATGTTTGTTAGGCCAGTGTCCACTTAGCGTGGGCGCGGCCAAGTTTCCCGCGGTCCTGTAAAGTTTGTTTACAGACCCCAGTGCTGGCTCCCAGTGTTCTGTGCTGTGACTTAGCTCGAATTCACCCCTCCATGTCTCCTAACAGCCCAGTCAGCGGTGGAAGTGTTAGCAATGCTGCTGGACAATATCAACCTCCCGCAGTTTGGCAAATTCTCTGGTTCAGCACTGGACAGGTCCTGAGGGTTGCAGCGGCCATGGAGGCGCTTCTCACCTGGCCCCAAGCTGCTGCAGTGGCAGAGGGCTATGGTTGTCCTCTCTCTTTCCCGGGGACAGCCTGCATGCTGACCCCTTTGTCCCCCGCCCTACCCCAGGGCAGAGATTTTAACAAAGCCTGGGCATTTTCCTTTTTCTTTCTAAAAAAGAAAAATCAATCGAGTTAAGGCCTCGAGCACGGCCGCTGGGTAACTCTTCTAGTAGTTAATAACGGGCTCTTCAGTCCCGCAGCAAAAAGTCAAACCAAGAATCACAACCACTTTAGGATCTATGCACCTCTGAATGCCCGTTAGGGAACTGATAATGGGGCAGAATCGAAAGCAGCTGGGAGCTGGCTGGCTGAGGTCTCTTTCCTGCTAATTCATCCCCCCATCTAAAAAGAAAGAGCCAGAAAACAAAACCCACATCTGGTTCTTTCAGCCTCACCAACACTTCTCCCAGACAAAAGCTACTGGGGACAGCACGCCCCAAGCACTGAAAGATGCTTGACTACAGTTCCCTATTGGTTGCTATAGCAAGTGATGACGCCATCAAAGAGGGCTATAATACAAGCCTGTGGAGCGGTGATGGATTTATTCAGCCAGCAACCAAGCAAGCGTTCCTGGCTGGGCAGAGGAAAGCAAGGCATCGTGAGCTCGGTTCTGACCACTGATTGGCCACTCTCCAGAGACGAGCCAGGCAAGGTAAAGGGCTTTTTTACTGATTGTGCAGCTACTTAATGGTGTGTACGTGTGTCTAGCTGTTCCTGGGAGGAAATCAGGCTACAGAGCAATTGCGAAGAGGAGAGGTTTCTTAAAGGAGAGAACGTAGGAAAAAAGAAAGACAGACAATGGAAAGGAAGACAATCCGGATGGGCAGCGTTAGTCTAGTTAGCAAAGAAATACAAAGAGCGGGATGTTTCTGCTTTATCGAAATGCATTTGTGCAGAGGAACTGATTCTGCCCTGAAGTTGGAAAAGGGACTACCTGCCACCCTGGAGGGGCGGGGGTACCAAAACAATCCCTGGCTGAAGCGGAAGGGTAGATTTCAATCAAATTCACCAGCTGAGTGAGCATGGTGGTCAATGATTCCTGGGGAAGAGCTGACCATGTTTTATTAGTTTTGACTGCTGTTATTGAATTTATTTGTACTTCAGTAACATCCAAGCATCCCGATCAGAATCAAGATCCCGCTGCGCTTGGCACAACACACAGCATCTCAGCTGCCCTGGTGTTTCCTATAGCAACAAGTTAGTGACTGAAAATGCCAGTGGGTGCGTAGGCAAACACAGCAGTCTCCGTGCACTTTTCCAGGGAGTGCTGTGGGACTTGGATGGACAATCAGAAAGAGTATCGGAAGCTCAGAGGTGAGAGGCTTGTGTTGAACTAACAACTAGTTTATTTGCAATGTTCTTTATGTTCCGTAGGGAACATAAGCTTGTAGCTAGAAACCCAGCAGAGGTCTAATGTCTGAGCCGAGCATCAAGGACAAACCCACCTCCCATTTCTTATTTTGGACTGGGGACCTTTTAGTCACCAGATGGGATGGTCAGGGTACTGGCCTGGGTCTTAGGAGACTCAGGTTTAATTCCTCGCTTTGCTACATATTTCCTGTATGACCTTTGGCAAGTTACTTAGCCTCTCCCTGGCTCAGTTTTCCTATCTATAAAATGGGGACCACAGCACTATCCTACTTCACAGGGCTGTGGGGAAGGCAAATACTTGGAAGACAGAGGTGAAAGTGCTAGTGGCAGAACTGTACTGACCCATGCAGATGCTGAGTTTGCCAGTTCCATTCTAGTGTACCAGGGCTGTTTGAAATAACACCACTGCTCTGAACTGTGCAATCCCACCGACAATACTGGGACTGGGAGAAAGCGATTGAATTTTGTCATGTCTATGTCAAGTCTTGCTTTCTTTCCCAAAACTTTTTTTTTTCCTGTTTCTTGGCCAGCAAATTTTTTTTCACTGTCTAATGGCAGAAAAAAAAAATTTCATGCGAAGCTCTGAGCATTTTTCACAAACACGTCTCTGGGTTTTTAACCCAGCTTCGCGATTACAAATCCCCTTGACTTCTGAAGACTGCATGAGCCCGAGCTACCGGCTTAGTAATTTAAGCATTTTCTTGCTTCTGCTTTCAGAGCCACGATGAACATTGAAGTCCGCAACATCTCTGGCACACGTGCCACCGTCTCCTGGTCCGCAAACATCCCCTGCCCAGAGAACTATTACCACGTCCTGTACCGTCCCAATTGGAACAGCGTCTTTGCGGGATACTTCCGCCAGAACTTCCACCGTGAGGAGAGGGTTCCCCACTCCCTTAACCACCTGGTCCTCCACAGACTCACTCCCTCCACTGTCTACATCCTGTGCATCACCTGTAAAAACTCCTACCCCTCCAGCAACCACTGCACAACGTTCCACACCCTCAACCAGCACCCGCTGGCCTGGCGCGGCTTGAAGCAGGAATCAGCCACCTCCATGTGGATGGTGAGCAGCCTACTGCTCCTCTGCTTTGCGGCCTTCTTGGTCTTTGGTTGCCTGCAGTTTTGGTCCTCAAGGTGCCGCAAAGGGTCATGGCTGCAGCAGTACAGCGCCGACCCAGAGCGGGAAGCGGGAGAACAGACAGGCTCGCCTGAGGGGACCGGAATGAAGGAAGAGCTGTTGGAAGTCCCCATGACGTCTGTCCGAATGAGTTCTAATTTCACAACAGAGAGCCCACACAGGTCCCCCCGGCGCTTCTTTCCACTCCGAAGCAGCGATGACAAAAGGGCCATTTTACCTCAGCACAGGCTCAAGTGAAATAAAAGGAGCCCCCAGTATGGGGGAACGCATGGCATTTTGTCTTTCATTTTAGTGGGGCGGCTCTCATGCCGCAAATGCTGACCTGACATGCATCAGCGCTCTCACTGCACTGCCTGATGATGGACAATGGCAGCCCCGGGTGAAGTGGTTGCCAAATTTAGAAAAAAACAAATCATTTTCCTTCTCTCCTGGTTTATTGAGAATAAATTGAAGAAACCAGCAAAAAACCAAGCCCCCAAGAAATTAAGGCTCAATTCCACTGTCAATAAACTTCACCTCAGTGGAGTGACTCCAGCTTTGCACCAGCATAGCAGAGATGACAGGCCTTTGGAGAGGCATTGAGTGGAATAAAGACAGTGGAGTTAATTTGTTTAGAAACAGCCCTTTTGGCCTAGTGGTGGAGCACGGACATTTGAGCAGACTTGGCTGCACCCCCGGAGAGAGTCAATGATCTGCATGCTGAGATTCAGTCACACAACAGGGCTCCGTCACGTTGAAAACACACCGTTCCTGACCCAGGCTCATAGTGCCCTTCCAGCGGGGCAGCTCTGCCTGTCCCCAAATCACCATGACAACCGGCATCCTTCAATAGCGTTGCTGCAGGCAAGGCCAGGAGTCCATGGACTCAGAGTTGGACCTAAACTCTAGGCCTGACCCTGCTTCCTTGGAGGTCAAAGGCAAAACTGCCCTAGACGTTAGTGGGAGATAGCACCAGTCCTGGGCCTGTGACAGTTGCACCCTGCAGAGCAGCTGCCTGCGCTGTGCTTAGTTACCGGAGACCAAATCCCAAGAGGTTCTTGGTACCTCATGGCCTACACCGGCTCCTCATTCACCTCAGCGTGCTTGGCCTGGCTTGGGGGATTTTGGTTCTTGGGGGCACCTTTCACCAATGGAATCACTGAAGGGGAAAACCAATCAGCTATTTTGGGTGGGCTCGCGGGTGGCTCAGGACTCTAGGAAGGGCTGATTGAGTGGTCTAGTCTAGGTCAGTAGAAGAATCTTACAGTGCCCCAGCATGCGTGCGATGTCTGTGTTGGGGAGTCATCTCACAGGGTCTTCTGACACCTTTCCCTGGTAATAAAATTCCCTCTTCAACCCACATCTATGCCTCTCCAGGCTCCTTGGTAAACCAGGCTGCCATGTACATCTGACTGACAGATTGCCTGGCAGTGAAGATAAGCAACATCTCCACACCCCATTAGTCCAATAATTCACCTTTCCAGTGACAGGGGGCCTGATGTGGTATCATATAATGGGGGGGAGCCCTCTCACCAAGTCTTGCCACCCCATTCTAATTTCTGCATCACTGGACGGGCTGTTCAGTGGCTCTGACCCAGGGTTGGTCATCACCCCAGCGCTGTGGCTTGTGAGCTCACTCTGACACCGGCGTTTTAAGGAGGCACAAAGAACGACCCAAACAACAACACAGCACAGCCGCTCCCTCACCCAGCTTGTCAGTCTCAGCGAAGCCAGGCTGACAAGGGCGTTTCTGTTGTTCTGCTCACAAACCTTTCCTGGCCTTTCCCTGCCTGTGAATGGTTTCGGTGTACAAGCTGCTTTCCCTCATTGGTCGCCCCCTTCCTAAATAAAGTCCCTTGAACTGGCCGACGTGGCTCATTACTGACCTTTGAGCCGTAGAGGTAATAGGGCTGGACGTTGGCTGGTTTGTCTCTTTGTGGTTCCTGGGTGAATGGAATAGCTGTCCGTACAAACCTGGGGAGTGCAAGGGGAAGGAAAGATGGTGTGCGTTAACTGCATTTCACACCAGCCACACTGTGTGTATGTCACATGCATTGCTCTTTCAAAGCTTAGGTCTTGCCTAGGTAATCACCCACAGGTGCATTCAAACTTGGGACCTATGGAGCTCTCTATAGCTTGAGCTATAAAGCCAGCTGTCTCACAGCTCAGGCTATAGAGCTCACTCATTCTTATTTCTTGCTGTAAGTGGTCTAAGTGTCACTACAGGGGACAGTGAACCACACCCTATACGTGTGGGTTACACCTACACTGTTGCTGTGATCAATCTTCTGGAGTTTGATTTAGAGAGTCTAGTTAAGACTTGCTAAATCGAACTCAGAGGGTGCCCTCGCCAACATCTGGTACTCCGGCTTTTGCAAAGAAACCTGCCGCTGTTGGGACACTGCCAAGCTCAGCTTAAGGTAAGCCGACTCCAGCTACATATGCTACGTAGCTGAACTTGCATACTTTAAACTGAGCTGCTGGGTCTGGCGTAGGCCCAGTCAGAGAGGTTCAAGTTTCACTCTAAAAGGCAATGGTGCATTATAAGGGAAAGGAAAACCCTTCTACCTTGTTGCAGAGTGGAAATCTACTGCTGTCACCAAGGTCTTTTTGTATTGTGTGTGGTGGGTTTGGGGCCTGTGAGTTACGTCCGTATTTTGAAAGAAGGGCCTCCAGATACCCTCTCTCGTTACGTTTTCTTACCGGTTGGTGGAGCCATTGTAGCAGTAGTTGGGAAGAAAGTCAAAGTTCAACTCCCAGAAAACGTGCAGGGTGATGCGTCCGTACGGCGCAGAGACGTTGTGATTGGCCTCTCGGAACATGGCATCAAAACTGTCCAAAGTCATGTGCTTACACAGCAGCCGGTGGGTCAGACGATTTATCTCCAAGAGCCATTCCAGCTCCTGTACCAGGCAAAGCAACAGCAGGAGATTGCAGATGTTACCAAGATCTTAACAGAAGTCTTATTCTCTGAGCAAAGAGATGGTTCCTAATATTCACACACCCGCGCAAGGTCTTCCAAGTAAGAGTGTAGCAAATATTAAAGACACTGCTTGAACTCAAAGGCTAAGGGCATTTGCACTTCCCTCCAGGGCCCCCACTCTACCATTCCCCTTCCTACAGGAAGTGAAAAGTGTTTGTTCCCCATGGAGCACATGCTTGCTAGAGTATCCCCTTTCACATCAGAGTCCCTGACAAGTGGAAATGGAATTTTACACTTCTCACGTCTGCTGCCTTTGCAGTGTATCAGGGCTCTGAACTCTGTGTGCAATCAATCCAGAGGTTAGCCACATGGATGCAACAGGGGGAATTAAACTCAGGACTTTTTTCTCCCACTTCCCAAGGTGCCACTATCTGTGCTTTATGAAGATCCTCACTATGAAAATCCCAAATATAGTCCCTTTGTGGAAAATGGGAGCCCTAGAAAGACCTAAGGTTGGTCACAAAGAAGGAAAGAGAATAGATAGAAAATCCCAAATATAGTCCCTTTGTGGAAGATGGGAGCCCTAGAAAGACCTAATGTTGGTCACAAAGAAGGAAAGAGAATACATAGGTGGGTGGATTTTAATGCATTAGTGGACAGTGGTGCATACACATACTCTGTCAGTGTATCACACTTGCTGAGTCTACGGATTGAACCTCTCCAGTCCGGCACCCTGGGGTCCTGACTGATGCCGAACCAGAGAATTTGCCAGCCCACAGGAGGTCAATATTGTCTAGCAGCATTACCAGCACTGCCACTGCTTACTGAGCTCAGACACTGAGGAGTAAATCAGAGCTAAACAACAGCACAGAACACTGAGAGCCAGGACTGGTGGCTGCAAACAAACTTCATGGGACCGTGGGAAACTTGGCCACACCCATGATAAGTGGACATCTGGCTAACAGAAATCATGCCGGACCATGGATGTTACCAGAGTAGAGAGGTTCAACCTGTACAGCATTTCGGACAACCACTGAGCTTACCACGATGGAGGTCAGGTCTTCACTCTCAAAGCGGCTAATGGCCTGGTCTAACGATTTGTACATCGCCGCGGAAATACGCTGAGTTATGAGCCTGTTCAGGTCAATTGACCTACCCAGCAGCTGTGGACAAGAGGAAAAGATACTGGTGGGAACATGGAGAGATGGACCCCAACTAGAGCCCCAGAGGCAACGCTTCTGGACAGTGGAGAGAGTTCGGATCTAGTCCATACATTGCTGGTTAGGTCTGTGTCTATCTAAAAGGGGGTTTTGGGCCTGGAAGGTAAATAACCTCTCTTTCCTTGACTGCACCTTGTCAATATTAGGATAAATGCTTTTGACTTGGTTTTTGGATTATGCTTTAAATATAATAAATCTATTGTCATTAATCTTGACTATATCCAACGATAGAACATGTCCTAGACATGGGCTGGCTATTGTCATTAATCTTGACTATATCCAACAATAGAACATGTCCTAGACCAGGGGTCGGTATCCTTTTTGAACCAAAGAGCCAAGCTACATCAAAATTCAGAACAAGTGGTCAACAAAGAGCTGTACGAGAGTGCCCATTTTCAGGGCTGAGGTCTTGGCACAGGATCTGGGCATAAAGAGGTGAGTGGGACATGAACTCACAACCCCAGGCTCTGGAGACTACTGTGACCTACCCCACCAAGCTACCTTCAGCTTGTGCATTATCTATGTATTGTGGGAATGACAAGAGTCTTATATTTGGTTCTGTTCTGAGCCATATTTAGCTCCAGAACCATAGGCTGCTGATCCCCATCCTAGACAGTGACATTTTCATCTGACAGTAGGACCCAACTAAATTCCTGACATTGGGACCTTTAGAGCCATCTGAGCCTCCTCCTCTGCTGTACCTGGACATGTCTCTGTTTGAGTAATGTCTCGTAGCGATTGGACGGTGGGTAAGGGATGATCACTCCATAATTCTTACATTCAGCCCGGAAACGCTTGTCCAGCAAGACACTGGAAAAGGAAAATATCATCAGTACTTTCACACCGTCGTCCTTTCTCTTTCCTCTTAATCTTTTCCAAGAGGAAGCCCCTATGAGTCATCCGCTTTATGGGCTGGGAGGGTTCCCCCAACCCATCCTCCCTCTCTTTAACTAACTTTATAGCCTTATGTGACTGGGCATATCATAGAATCATAGAACAGTAAAATTGGAAGGGACCTCGAGAGTCATCAAGTCCAGTCCCCTGCCCTCACGGCAGGACCAAGCACCATCTGATCATCCCCGACAAGTGTCTGTCTAACCTGTTCTTCAATATCTCCAGTGATGGAGATTCCACAACCTCCCTAGGCAATTTATTCCAATGCTTGACCATTCTGACAGGTAGGATGTTTTTCCTAATGTCCAACCTCAACCTCCCTTGCTTCAGTTTAAGCCCCTTGCTTCTTGTCCAAAGAGGACAATCCCCCCCCCCCCCTCCATGTGACACTCTTTTAGAATCCCACACTGGCACACAGATGGTTACCAGGTGGTATAAGCAGCTGTTCCTAGAAGGCGAGGTCTTCATCAAAGAAGGCACTCGAGGCAGTGAGGACAGAGACCCAGGGAGAGGAGGCTCAGTAGACGGGGTCTAGAGTTCCCCTCCCTCTGGGAAAGGCATCCGGACAGGGGCAGAGCTAGCTCTGTAGTGGGCCCTACAACAGGAGCAAGACTCCTCCAGGGTAGCCCGGTGCTCCATCTTCTGCAAGAACAGGGAGATGGAGAGAACCCAAGGTTCGGCATTATGGCAGGACTTCCCTCAGGGCTCCTCCGTGCCAGGTATGGCTTTCCACGGCTCGGAGGATCGTGGCTGACCAACACGAGAGCCTATGTCCCTGCCAAGGTCTGATGAAGGTACCAGCTTTGGGGCACGCCAGCCCAATGTGCAATACACCAGGCCAAGGACTCCCAAGTGGTGCATCCTTCCCAGTACTACAGAGCATGGCTGCTCCGCTACTGGGGAGGGAAGTGCCTGTCTGCTCCATTTCTTTCCTGCTGGCCTCCACTCCGGCCCTGTGCATTGCAGCTATGGGGAACTGCACCACAGGCTAGGCTCAGACTGCCACTTACTGTGCTAATTTTATTTCCCTCTTCGCTTTGTTCCCCCCTCCCCAATTTGTTAGTTGGAGCCATCTCTTGTGGTCTGGTCACCGGGACCAACATTTTCGGGACCGGGCCTGTCACTTCTATTGTGTGCCTACAGCACTTCACACCCTCCTCCCCCTTGGCCCCTGCCTGGAGCACATACAGCTGAGCAAAGCGTAACAACAATATTCAGGGGACTCACTTACCTGCCAGCCATCGCTTTGTAATAGGCGAAGACCTGATCTGCCAATTTGTACACAAACTGATCAAAACACAGGTTCACCTGACAGAGAAAGGAATATACATCACAAGGGTGTGAGCAATATCAACGAAATAGGGTCTTGGAACAAGTGAATGTGCATTTGTGTGCATGAGAGAGAAACGCTATTTGATAAAATACTATCAGTAGCAAAGCACTTTCCCCTGCATTTCCTGTCAGCGAGGAGAGAGGTTTCCACACTCTCATGCTAAAAGAATGCAGACTATCGAGCATTTATGTTCCTCGCCTTTTATGAATCCTACCATAAAGCCTTCCTCTCCCATCTCCTGTCCTCTGGGTCTTTCAGTTTGAGCAGAGTGAACAATGATGCTGATTTGAACTGAACCAGAATTTTGTGGTTTTTTCCTCACTGAAGTGAAATAAGCTTACTGGACCATTTTGAAAGGCATTTCAAACCAAAATGTCAATGCAAAATGAATCAGCAAAGGGCAATTTTTTTCAGCTAATAGTAAATGTGCCCCAAAATGCATTTTTTGCAGCAACAAAACTATTCGCAAATTTAAATGTGAATCGTTTTCAGGGCGCTTCCTTCATAAAAACGTTAAAAGCTTTCTTTTCAACATTTTCAAAACAGGTTCCTCGCC